TATTGTTTTAATAATATTTTTATTATTTGTAGTTGTACTATCATTACATTAAGTAATACATTTCTGTCAAGTTAAACCAAACTTTTATTTTGATGGGTTTCTGTGAAGACCTTTAAGTTTCTGTTTGTATATGATATGTCGATAGTTTTTCTCAAAAGAAATAGTAAAATGCTCATGAAGTGACTCTCAGAGTAGTTCTAGAGATTATGTTCATATCATAGGGCCCTGCATGTTCAGGAAAAAAAACATACCTTACAAAAATGTAGTGTTCCAGCAAAACTCGAACACTGGTGAAAATTTGCCACAAATAGACCCTTTTCACAGACTGTGATGACGATTTCCACAGCTTTTAACATTGTAAATTTAGAAAAGGTATTTATATTTTCATTTTTAACTTTGTTATAATACCTTGGCATTAAATTACAGAAAAGTAGTCAACTCTGTTGTACGAGTGTTTGTAATACAACGGTTGAGAGAGTAACGGCAAATTTGACATCTTTCTGTCTTCTGATCAACGTAATCAATCTCTTTAATATTTTTTCCTCTTTTTTTGGAAAGCTATAAGAAGGATGTCATGGAAAAATGTACTTATTTATTTGTTAATGTATGTATTTATATATTTATTACCCCTATAGAATTTTACCCAACTGTGATGACTTTGGAAATGTGAAAAGGGTTGATAAACTGCATAAAAAATTTGTCATTTGTCCAGGCATGTTAATACTGTGGTACCACAGTAGCAGAGTGATTAACTGTGTTTGGTTCTGATTTGTTTTGTGCAGTCTGTTGAGCTTGTGCTCGATGAAAAACCAGGATCACCTGCTGAAACTAACGGTCTCCACTCTGGACTACAGCAGAGACGGACTCGCTCGAGTCATTCTGTCCAAGATCCTCACAGCGGCCACTGATGTAAGATCACGTTAAGATCATGTAGGGTTGTTATAATTTGCTAAATCTAAAACCATAAACATTTTTGTTACTTAATAAAAAACTACTAAAAATGAGAACGCTTAAAGGGGTCATATGATGTTGCTAAAAAGAACATTATTTTGTGTATTTGGTGTAATGAAATGTGTTTATGCGGTTTAAAGTTCAAAAAACACATTATTTTCCACATACTGTACATTATTGTTTCTCCTCTATGCCCCGCCTTTCTGAAACGCGTCAATTTTTACAAAGCTCATCGGTCTGAAAAAGCGAGGTGTGCTGTGATTGGCCACCTAT